CTGATTATCGCTGGGAAAAGTACCTTGCTGACTAGATGTACAGTAGGAGTCCAAAAGTCTGACACCACTTTGGCTACATTTACATGCAAACTAATAAGCTTTTTTAATCATAATCATGTCGGAGTCAGTCTGAAACGTCTTGATCTAAACACCTTTATCCATTTGAGTTCAATCCGAATGAAATTTAGATTTTGTTGAAAGGGGTGCTGTAGATCTTAATACACATTTAAATAAATGTGTGAATTAGATTGCAAAGTTTAGAGGAACTTTCAGAAACAGAATGTTCAGAATCTGAAATCAGATTTGGTTCATTTGGATTGATAAAAATAAGTGCATGTACAAATCTGTGAATGTGGTAATAAACTGTTATAAACATTCATGTAAAATTAATGTGAAATGTTCTGCACTATTTCTAGGTAAACCCAAAGGAAATATGTGACATTGATCATGCGACACTTTGTACATAGAGGTTCTTGCTTCCATTGAAGCTCTAGATGAGCTATGGATCATTCTCATATCATGCTGGAGAACATGATCCACAGGTTTTAGAATTTTCACAAACCTGTGGAGTTCATCTAGCTTGTCATTGGCAAAAGAGAGACCTTCTGAAATTCATGTTCATATTTCAGTTCGACTTTTAACTCTGATTGTTAAGTGAATTGCTGATTAAATCATTTGTAATGTAAAAGGTTTGTACTCCGTGTTCATTTTGAGAAATGGTGATCTCTCACTTTTGGACTCTACCATTTGAGCAGTAAGTCTAGTGTTTGTCAGGAAGTGGCTGCTTGTGGTTTTGACATTTATGTATTATTAGCAATCTTTTTTTTTTTTAAAGTGCTTCTGAAGTGGCATTTAGGTGTCTCTGCACAGACTGTTTCATGCTGCTCAGAAGTGGCATAAATGCATTTACACAGCAGTTACAATTGTGTATTTTGATACTTTGATATTGCGATGAGGTGGGTCAGAGCAGGCTTAATTTAATCTGGCTTTTATGCAGCATTGTGAATTTTGAGCAGGCATAGAGCAGTCCTAACTAAACTCAACTTTACAATTAAGACATTCTGTTCATATCAGTACATTTATCTAATCTCTGGCAGAGATAGTTGTGTGCCTAAAGGAAGAGTAAACATCCTTTTCTGCAGCATCATGCATTTCCTTTCAGACTGTATTGCTCTGTGTTGTTCAATCGTTGTATTTATCTTACAAGTTGTTCATAGAGACACAACGCCTTGTGTACTGTCTGTCCTGGGTGTAGGTGTGCGAAATATCACCGCGCTGGGGAACCTGATCTCTTGGCAGAAGGTTGATTACGACTTCAACTACCACCAGATGGAATTCTCCTGCAATATTAACGTACTTATCACATCCGAGGGCCGATCGCTCCTCCCGGTAAGAACATCAGGCCTGAGTCTCTTCAGTGTTTTATTATTAAAATATTACCCACATGTATTTGGCCGAATTAGAAAGACCGGCATCTTAATTTCCAACAGGTGAAAATGACTTGGGTTGAATGCCTCTCCCATGGGAGTTGTTTCCATCGGCAGTTTTAAAGACAGCCTAATATTTCCATTACAGTCCACAGGGTTGTCGTCAGCTCCCTGGCTGGGCTCTAATCGTGGCTTTGCCGTGATGCTAACAGCCTGTGGAATGTGCTGTGCTATTCCTGTATGTCAGCTCTCTAGTTGCCATGGCGGCAACTCTACACAAGGACATTAGAGGGAGAGGCCAGGACAGGCCACTTATTTAATGGCACAAAACTCAGATTCACCGTTTTTTACAAAGTTTAAAAAGGCACTGAAGGTTTATTAGAAGTAGTTTCATGATTCCTTAATGGCTTCTGACAAATGGGCACATTATAAAGTGCAACTTTTAAATGAGTCCTTGCAAAGATTTTCTTCTTTGCTTTCTCAGTCTGACTGTCAGGTTCACCTGCGGCCCACCCTGAACCCACCTAACCTGGAGGAGTACCTGAGCGCTGTGCAGGTGGCGCAGGTTCCATCTCAGCTCAACAAGTATCGCATCTATCTGAGTGTGGCACGTGCTGTGAACTACACCATTTCAGATGAGATCACAAAGGTCAGGATTTTGTCAAGTCATCTTTATTTTTATAGTGCTTTGTACAGTACAGATCGTTTCAAAGTAGCTTCACAGTAATAAGAAAATAAGTTGTAATGTTGCAAAGCTCTTCAGCTGTGAAATGAATACAATTTAATCTATAAAGCAGCTCTACACAAGATTCAGCTTAAGTCAATTCAGTGTTGATTCAGTTTAGTTCAGTAATAGTGCAAAGTTAATCAAATTATGAAACAAGACTAATACAGAAGATGCAGATCAACAGTTCAGTGTTGATTCAGTTCAGTGTTGCAGACTTCATAAATTATGAAATTAACTCAATAGGCCTGGGCGATAAAACGGTATCGATATTTATCGGCGGTACACCTTCTTCGATAATGATATAAAAAATGTTCGATATAGGCACGTGCTACGAGTGACGCAGACAGCACACACAAACACGAACATGAGTGCTGTGCCTGCCTGTGATGAGGAGATTGTGAATAAAAAAAATGAATATTAGTCAAATTTAAAATAAACATTTGCATTTGAATGCAAAAATAGTATAATCGAATGTTAGGTGTGCGTCAGGGAGCGTCTTCAGTGGAGCACGAGATGCAGTGATGATGATGTAAGTGATGTTGTAGTTTAATGTTTTAAACTCGTTCTAGTCCACGAGACGTGCAGTCGCTGCGTTATTCATTCAAAATATTTGAGAAATATAGAAGCTCAATGCAGAGAAGATCTTTAGGTTAAAACCAAAGCAAGCCATTCACACAGAACGCATATTCAACACGTTTTCTAGACGGACAAGACTGCTGCACTCACGTCACACAAGAGATGTATAGAAAGCCATGCAAAGTTAAAACTTTTAGAAAACACGTCACAAATTTGTGGAGGTTTATTCCTTTTCACTGCGTCTCATGTTTTTAAAGGCAATCTGTGTGATGGGTGATTCGGCTCTTTGTATTTAGCAATGCATAAATACGCGACGCTGTTTTGTTCATAATTGTTTATGCAACTTACGAAATTATATTTGATTTATATGAGTTCATTTAGATATAATGCACATTTTTTTATAGACCGTTATTTCCTTGCGTTGACAATTTAATGTTTAACCTATTTAATCTGCATATAAAACATTAGAAATTAGATATTTGTTTAATTTTTATTTTGTGTTTGACTGTTAAAACAAAAAAATATTTGTTGTTTGTCTCAAATTGAGTTAATTTAAAAAGTGGTTAAATGTAAAAAAAAAAAAATTCTATTACTGTTTTAAAAAATGTTTGGTTAAAATCTTTAAAGTTTGTTTAAAAAAGAATGTCAATAATTATCCATACCGAACGATATGAAACATTGTATCGTTGATACATTTTTTTAGCTATATCGCCCAGCCCTAGAACTCAATTCAGTTATAATGCAGCTCTACAGAAGACAATTGTCATTATCCAGCACAATTTCGTTCCAATTTAGTCGGTGCAGTCAGACTGATAATATTGCTGAATATTAAGTTTCTTTTAAACCCCAAACCAAAGGTGACAGTGGCAAGGAACCAAAACTCATGTGGAGAAAAAAAAATGTCAATATGATTCTGTTCATCATGATGAAATGTTTTGTCTCGTGCTTGGCGCTCTTGAACTGTAGGCAGTAGAAGAGGACTTTGTAGAGATGCGAAAAGATGACCCTCAGAGTATGTCTGCGGAAGACCTCCATAGGCTGCTGGATGTTGCGAGGTGAGTTCTGAATTGTGCTTTCACAGCTAATCTAGTTAGGTTATCCATTATAAGCCAATTAAATACTAAATTGGGTTCTGTTTTAGGCTGCTCTCATTAAGTCACGGGCAGAACACACTGTCTAGAGATGGCTGGATGAAAGCCAAGCAGCTAGAGGCTTTGAGAATAAGTCGAACACCGCAGCAGAAATGTGTGAATGGAAATGAGCCTTAAAATATATTACTATTTACATATACTTCAACAGTTTCATACTTTGTATTTTGGATTAAAATGTAATGTTTTCATATGACTTCTTGTACAGTTCAGTTTTTTTTTTTTTTTACTTCATTTTAAATATGGGAAACCTTAGACACTGGTGAAGATTATTTTCAATGTTTGCGTTGTTCAATTTTGTTTTTGATACTTTGTATATTTACCGGATTGAAGGGGGTGGTTTATTCCTTTTCTAATATGATTGAGAGTACATGTAAACACTCGATCAGATTAAACCATGAACTGAAAGGACTGCGCATGTACAATGATAAAAAAATCAAATTCCGATTTGAAGCTTGTGACATTAAACGCGCACATCAACCCGATCACTTTATTTCGCGTTCATGTAAACACTACATTCAGAGTTATCAATCGGAATGAATTTGGTTCAATTTTGAACCAAAAATTGTGCATGTAAACGTAGCCATTGATGTTCATGTGAGATCACAGTCTTATTCAGACCTTTGATATTATTTAGCCCGTAAGATATGGAACTATTTCAGAATCTCTTGATACACACAGATCAATCCCACAGGATCTGCACTTGAACAACAGTAATTAATGCAGAATTAAACTAGGATCCACTGGATATCACCCGGTAAGGCTTGACATTTTTTCCAAAACTAGAATATATGGGGTAAGGCTTCAAAAAATGATCTCTCAATTTCGAACCAAATTATCTTCAAGCCAAAGCAAATCTAAAGACATGGCATAGATATTATAGACAGAACATAAATGTAACCTGAATGACTTGAATGAAAACATTTATAGGTAGACTTGTCAAAAACCTGCTTTTAGTCGTCTGCTTATGCTATGAAACGAACGTTTTGTTTGACCAAATGATTTAGTTGCATGACTGCATCAACAGAGCCCAAAAGAACTGGAGGCAAGACTTGTCAAAAACCTGCTTTTAGTCGTCTGCTTATGCTATGAAACGAACGTTTTGTTTGACCAAATGTTAATTTAGTTGCATGACTGCATCAACAGAGCCCAAAAGAACTGGAGGCGAGGAAGCACGTAGTCTACGTTTTCCCGAGAGCCTGAGCAGCGCTGCTCGTCAGAGTTGTATGATTCAGAATCAGAGGAAATCTCCGAAGAATGTTCGTCGTTAAGGTCTTTCAGGGCTGCTGAACCCGTATTGCCATCATGAGTCTCTAAACTGCTGTCTGATTTCCAGAGGTTCATATGCAAATTTGGCTTGAGGAAGTTCACTTTTACCTCAGGCTTTGAGAAGGTCCCTAGTTTCCCCAAGGGCTTGAAGTTTCCAATGTTGACGTTAGTCTTTGTCTGCTTTACTTTCTGGTTTAGTGTTGAAAACTTGTTCAAAAGGAAACTTTTGCCTTGAGCCAAACCAGACCCAAGAACTTGGTCCACGGCTTTCCCTTGTATTCCCATTATATCCTCATGTGGTTTGCTGTGTCTCCTGAAACAAAGCAATTAAAGCAAGATTAATTTAAAAAAAACAACAATCCAGCACAATTTGGCTTTGTTAAAAAATAGCAGAAAAAACACATTTCACTGAAACTGGTTTAGTTTTTTGTAGTCTTAACATGACAAAAAACACATTAAATCAGATGTTCACAAGCCTGATCCAAACTACCTTCATTTAAAAAATCAGATTTTTGTTCATGTGTCTCACTTTAATTGATCAGATTTCACAGTTTTACATTCGTTATCCATTGTGAAGTGAATTCAAACATCTAAAGTCAAATTACTAACAGTCTCACAGGAACCTACACAAGTTTGTGTCCAATGTGGACATGCTAGCCAAAAACAGCAGAAACGATCATATCCAGCCACATATCATTTTTATACAGTCTGCACAAAAGAAAATATTTAAGATTAGAAATCAACGCTGCAATGTGAGCAAAGCCTTTGTGTCCATAGTAAATCAGGTAAAAACCATTAGGTTGAAGAAACTAAAAAAAGGTTTCTGAAGAAACTCACAAAAGTTTTTTTTCCCCTTTTACCTCTCTAGTTTCTTCTCAATAACCTGGACGTCAAGCCCCATAGCTTGCTTTGTAATACGAAGCATTTCCGCAATGCACTGAAGTGTGTCTGAAATGCAAACAAACCAACAAGTGCAGAGGAAAGGATAAATTATTTAACAAACACAAAACCCTACATCATCATACAGACATCCAAGTAATATCTTTTACCAATGTAACCCATGATGTCATTCACAGAATTACATAATACAGAACTAGTGGCACAACAAATCATGGTATCCCAGCACAAACCTTTTCCATCATCTTCTGGATTTCGTGTGACAGCCCTCAGCGTATGGAAGTAACCGCTCATCTCCCCGTTCTTATAGTGCAGCCGCATGCAGCAGTATTTAGGCTTTCCGAAAAGAGTCGGTTCTGGACCTAAAAAGACAAATATTGGCAAACTGTCATGATATCACATTTATTTAATAGGACAAAAATTACATCTACAAGTTATCTACAAGCTCTTACCAATTTCGATCTTTTCAAGTCCTTCTAAACTTAGTCTCTGGTACTGGTTGACTTTGTCCGCCTCCTCATCATAACTAAACAGCAACAGCAAAGTGAAGTGGCATTACTAAACCAATGCCAAGAAAAAGGATTTCTTATTTTAAAAACATAAACATTGGGAGAAATTGCACTTACTAGGCTACATAATAAGCACAGTTGGACAACAGCAAAAGAACGTCAACATCTTTGTGAGTGGCATCTATAAGACTAATAGAGGAAAAAACAGTATAATAAACGGTAAACATCTTGAAAGAGAGGCCAATAAATAGTACCATTAAACCCTGGAGAAAGAGAAACAATGGACAATGCCTTGCAAAAATGCATGTAATTGTACTAGAATTTCTCTCTGACCATAATATATGCTTATTTGAGTATATATTGTGTAAAAAAAAATACCTAAAATAAGCATTACATATGGACAGAGCTAACTTTGTGCAAAGATTTAAGATGATTCCAACCAATAAATAGTACCATTAAACCCTGGAGAAAGAGAAACAATGGACAATGCCTTGCAAAAATGCATGAAATTGTACTAGAATTTCTCTCTGACCATAATATATGCTTATATTTGAGTATATATTGTGTAAAAAAAAATACCTAAAATAAGCATTACATATGGACAGAGCTAACTTTGTGCAAAGATTTAAGATGATTCCAGCCCAATCAGTAACAGTTTTTCAGGCATCTTTCACCATGACCTACCACCAAAAAAATGCAAAAGAATGGAGGAAATATGGCTCCCTCACCCAAACAATTATTACACAACCAAATAGGGGGGGGGGGGGGGGGGAAACTATTTGTACAAGTACCTCTGAGCCATTGACAATAAACTTTAGGAGGAAGAGTAAACTAACAATATACAAATGTTTAAATCAAGCTTTATAATACATTTTTAATGATTGATCTCTTAGCACCATTACCGCAGTTTTATTTTAATACATTTTTAATATTATTGTAATTAATTTTATTCTTAAGTTGTAATAAATATTTCCAAATAAATAAAAAAGAAAGGATTATACCGTTTTAAGGGGCTGTTAACACAGAATGCATTTTTGCATTCCACTGTGCTGCTTTTTAATTTTTCTCATGCGTTAGACAAATGCTCGTGCATGAAATAGCATTCTAAAAGTTAAAAAAAGTTTCTTTTCATTTAACTGCCTTGAACACAAAAACACCTTCTGTGTGAATAGTCCCTTAATTTTCTGAAACAGCATCATACAATTTGCTTGAAATTAGAACTCTCTCCAAAGCACTGCATGATGATGTGGAGCGGAGGGCTCTCACCTTGGATCACAGTCGATAAGTGCCCATCCACCATGAAACTTCTCATCATCAGGCAGCAGAAGCTGCATATATGTCTGCAGCAGGAGGCTGACCTGCTCCTGAGCTCCTCTTTGGCTCTCCTTCTCTTTCTCCTCATGCTCCTTCTCTTTGCTGAAGATGGAGTACAGGTCTTCTGTTACTGGAAGGCCCATCATAAGGTCTGGGAGGAACGGAGATACAGTACATAGCAGATGGGATAAAGCTGGGATATTAGCATTGTGTACCTAAGATGGAGAATTTTTCATACTGACCAATGACGGCCTGTCGGTAGGCGTCTCTGAAGCGGTTCAGATAGTAACGATTAGCTGAGTTCACACCATCTTTCATCACCCCCGCTAACTTTCGCTCTCCTGTTCGTGTGAAATCACCCTACACAACAGATTGCATACATCAGAAAAAGCTGACAAACTCCTTGGGTGGTCATCACTGTCCTACTTCAGCTATGAGACCAAAAGCTTTAGTGTCCGTTTTTACTCCTTAAAAAGACGCTGAGGGAATAACTTTAGCTCCCCCAAATTAAACAACAAAAAATACAATAACAACATTTTTAAAATAAATAAATATTTTTATATATATTTTATTAAATTAAATAATATTTTGTAATATTTTATTAAATTAGTACATTTATTATTTATTTTATAAAATGTATGCAATTTTGTTTACATACACGCACACATTATAAACATATAATTATATATTTTATATAAAACATTATAGAATTGAAAGCTAAATGTATTTAATGATTTTTTTTTTTGTATTTTATATAATTAAAATTACATTTTTAATATATATAAGGTTTAAACTGTGTGTGTGTGTGTGTGTGTGTGTGTGTGTTTATTGTATATTAGTGCTGTCAAATCGATTAATCACATCCAAAATAAAAGTATGTGTTTACATAATTTGGGTGTACTGTGTATATTTATATGTATATGTAGATTACACACACATACATGTATACATTTAAGAAATATTTACATACACACATATATATATATATATACACACAGATATTTTTATATGATTTATGTTATACATAAAAGTAAATATATATTACATATATCATCACTTTGGAATTATAAGGTTCCATCTGCATTCTGAGCAGTTTCGAGATATTGAGCTTCAAAGTTTTTGCATTCCATATAGTGATATGGGATATGGGGAGCAAGTCTCTTTCTTTCATACATCAGTCACAAAATGTACACAACTTAAAAAAATAAAAAATAAACCTTCACACAATGTAAATAAGTTGTCACAGAATAAGAATATGTGAATAACTACATTTTGACAAAAATGGCAGATAGAACCTTACAATTCCAAGGTGACTACATTTCTTAAATATATACATGCATGTGTGTGTATTTACATATACATTTAAATATAGACAGTACACATACATATATTATTTAAACACAAATTTATATTTTGGATGCAATTAATCGATTTGACAGCACTATATATAATTTGATATATATATATATAAAATCATTCATTTATATAATACTTAGATGATTTATACAATACAGTCACTCACAATAAGACAATCAGTTAAAAGATTGACTTGTCAATATGCAAACTAGATACTACATGATGACTGATGGTGATGTAAATGGGCAATAGGGACAGCATAAAATCAATGGCAGGCATTTAGTCTATTTACCTTTAGGGCAGCTGTGCCAGCATACTGACGGCTAATGGTATCTCCATTGTTGGCCCACATCACCTGATAGATCCTGTAACACTTGAGGGGCAGTGGCTGCTCGGGTGGCATTACACCAAGTTTTTTCAGCTGGAACCAAACAGATCAAAAGACTCTTTGAATGTACCAGCAAACTGAGAGCAGCTGAGTGAGGCAAAGACACTGCACTGTTCTGTGGGTGCAATATGGCAGTGCTCCTAGAAGCCACAGTTTTATTTACACCTTAAGGCATTTAGCACATGATCTTATCCAAAAACAACTTTAATTTTTATGTGTGAATGTATCTGTGTGGAGTGTTCCACCTGTGTGGAGGTGAATTTGAATACCTGCTGTTCCATGACCACGCGGGCGATAGCTGCCTGTACCACATTAGTTCTGTCTAAGCAATCCATGCAGTTAACCCTGAAGATGCCTTCCTGTTGACAGATGACTCCTGCTTGGTCCACCCTATTTGCAAATCAAAGTAGATGGATATTACATTGGACATGATATTAACTTACTCGGAAGCAAAAGCGGTCTTCTTTTAGGACTTCAGAGCAAATGAAAGACTCACCAGGCCCATCTCGTGTCTGTGATCATGTCAGAGATGGCATCAGTGAGAGTCTGCACATTCTCAAACTTCATTCCTCGACTGGGAAGTAACAAAGGAGAAAATCTGTTGTTGCGATGTAACTGTAACAGGCTTCTTTTGTAAAAAATCATCAGGATGGGCTGATCTTTAGATCATCACATTTTGGGCTTCTTACCAGTGCTCGTGGAAGTCAAATGAAACATATGTTAGGTTGGGATTATTGTACAGCAGCACTTGTTTGAGGTAAGCATCACCAATCATCTTTTCGCGTCCATTTTGGTCCACCAAATTAATGATCACCTAATGAGGGGGGAAAAAATCTGTGCTAAATTACTAAAAACATTTCAGTTTCTTAAAGAATTATTGCTTATGCCACCATTTAAATGTTTAAAAAGTTTTTTTTATTATTTAATTATACTTTCATTCAGCAATGACGCATTAAATCAATCAAAAGTGACAGTAAAGACATTTATAATATTACAAAAGCTTTCCATTTCAAAAAAGTTTCCACAAAAATATTAAGCATAACAACTGTTTTCAAATGTTTCCTGAGCACCAAATCAGCACATTAGAATGTGACACTGAAGACTGGAGTAATGGCTGCAGAAATTTCAGCATTGCCATCATAAAAATAAATTACATTTTCAAATATATTTAAATAGGAAACAGTTATTTTAAATTGTAATAAAAATTTACATTACTGTTTTTACTGAATTTTTTGATCAAATAAATGCAGCCTTAGTGAGCTTAAGGACCTCTATCTAGTGTTATATTATATATTACACATTATATATTTCACTACAAATGTCATTCACACAATCCAGTAATTACACACATTTATAGTCTTATAAAGGAACAGAATGCATTAACTGTGAAAACATATGACCGCTGAAATTGTTATATTTTAAACAAACCTTACCAGTTTTTTGTAAATCTGAACTTGCTGTTCAAAGTGAGAAGCAAAATAAGGCATAGTTTCCCTCTCGCCTGCAACAAAGCACATCTGTGAGATAGCATCATGTAGGAAACAGCACTGCAGAAGGATCACAGTAAAGCTCTGAATTATCACCACTGAGCCACAACATTTCCTCTGAGCACTATGTTCAACCAAGAAACCATGCCAGTTCCACATCTGACGCCATTCACAGGACAAAACATTTCCAAACAATGACTACACTGATGCATCTCAGTGATAGCTTGTCTAGAAACAGAAGTACTAGACTGCGCTGTGAGTTAGATCTCACTTATGATTTGAAGAGAGAATCGATTACACGGATACACCTCACCTTTCTCTATCCGAGGTCTGGGGTTGTAGCGATACCCAGCTTGGCTCCAAAAAACAGGGACAGAGCCTCGCGTTTGTACAAAGGACAGCGTGTGACTGTGCACGTGGATTAGCTGCTCCGTCTCCACATAGTTGGCCACATGTCCATCAGTATCCACCCCCCTCCGCTTGTAGCGCATTCCTTTAGTGGAAAGCACGATGATATTATTATATTTACAGCATGGTGAGTAAATATGAATTACTTGCCTTTATTAATTAGTGTACCTGCACGGTGACGGCTTCGTCTGGAGATGAGGGCCACAGTGAAGCGTGGGTGAATATCATCCACACAAGTGCCTTCCTGCAGAGGTGTCTCCGGGCTGCTCCTCTCTTCATCAGAGCTCTCGTTATAGTTCACCACCAGCTCCTCCACTTGCACGAAACCTTGGATGATAGGAATCACCCAAAAGTCCACTTGAGGCACCTGCAAAACAGGACACCTTGTATTATTACCATTCAGGGCTGGTATGGAAGTGTGTTTCCATCACAGAATAAAAACTATAATTAAGTGTAATTCTAAGTGGGGGAAAAAGTTAGAATTGTGAGATAAAAAGTCGCAATTCATTTTTGTTTCTTATTCTGTGGCAGAAACAAAAAAACAACAACTGTGAGATGTCAATTCAGAATTCTGAGGAAAAAAAGCCAGAATTGTGAGATGTACGCTCCCAACTGCAAGAAACAATGTCAGAATTGTGAGAAAAAAAGATGCAATTACATTATTTTATTTCATGGCAGAAACATGATTTCATAGAAAATTTGAGAAAAACAGTTTTGCACCTGCAAGTCAATGAGGTCTTTGATCATGTGCTTGTTCCAGAAGAATCTATCATCCACCTAAAATGAAAAAATATATATTATGTGGATCAGTATTCTGTGTGTTTGTCAGATGGTATGTGTAAATGTTTGTTTAATGGTATTTTTATCAGAACATACAGAGAAACAAGAAGTGAGATTGGAAAATTACCTTTATTAAATGTGCTTTTATTTTTATATTTTCTGTTTTCAATTCAATTCTAGGTTAAGTTTTAGTAATTTTTTTTTTAATTTGTCATTTTTATTAGTTTGTTTAAAAAATATTTATTTTATTTCAGTTTCAGCCATTTTAGTATATCAGTGTAATTTTTCATCTAATATTTATATTTAGATAGATAGATAGATAGATTTCAGCTTTATTTCAATTAACAAAATTTTTTTTTGATTGTTTGGTTTTAATCGTTTAGTTATCAATAATAACAACAATGTGGTGACCCACTCGCTAAGACAACTTCTTTCCTTCTGTCTTTGTTCCTTGTTTTAATGTAGCTGCATTCTCAGAAATAACAGATACTCATATGTTAGCACTCTACTATTTATCCAGGAAGTGTCTAAATATAATGACCTATTCTTTAAGAAATGAAGCTTGGCTATAAATGTATTTTTGCATCCTGTATGTGTGGGACGAGTGTAAAAGAGTGAGCCACATCGTCACTCAAAGCACTTCTTGCTCTCTAAAGTATTTACACAACTGTCACCAATATCAATAATAACAGACATTTTAAATCTATTTATTATCCTCAAGTCAGTCTTTTTCAATCTTTCTTAATCTGTTCCTCATTGAAAAACAGAAAGAGTTAATAAACAACTAATAACTACATTTGAATTGCAACCTTAATTCACAACCTTAAGAACACTCAGTCTGTAGACATTTACATTTTGAAATATGTAAAACAATAACTCAGCTTCTCACCTTTTTCCACAAGGGCTGATCTGACTTGCCTAATGCTCCCTGTCGCTGAACTGTATTGGTGAGGTCATAGGTTAGACTATAGTAAAATGAATCCGAGTCCATGAAGATCTTATAGAGCTCATCAAGCAGCCGCCTCTCCAGACGTTCCTTCTCTTTATTCTCTTTGACCTGAAAGGCAGGGGAATACTGCATGGGAGTGAACAAACAGAATGAGGTTAAAGAGACAATACTAAGTTAAAGAGATGACAATTTATGGAAGAATCAGGAGGTTCTGTTTTTACAGTACATTTTGGGATTTTACAATAACCATATTAACATGTCAATGTAATGTCAACAGATTAAGTAAAATGGGAATAGTTAGTCTCAAAATTATTGGTATTGATATCAATGACCAAAATGTAAAAAAAAAAACATCAACCTTTTTCTTGATGGGAACGGCAACATTAGATTTGATCTGACTCAGGGTCTTCAACAGGAACTTGGACTCATCCGGTGACTGGGTGATTTTCTCTGGTTTGTCGATTCCAAAATGATGCTTTTTGCAGAGCTGAAAGTGAATGAGAGCAAAAGAATATTTGACCATTTTGTTAATGCTAACTATCTGCTGTCATTACTAACAAAGCTAAATAGTTCAATTTGTACCTAGGTGACAAATCTACAACCATCTCTGTTTCCCTGCTCAAAGTCCATCTGAAAAAAGCTGCTACATTAATTCCTGTAATTAAAACCGAAAGGGTGCCAAGATGTGCACTAAGACTAGCCTGATGCTGATGCCAGAGCAACGCCATCTCCACATGGACGTGCCTTTAATAGAAATGCACATTTTCATACGGACTACAAAATTAACGAATATTACAAAATCGAGTGGGCGAGTTTTCCTTATATTTATTTTATTTTTCATTTAAAATTATAATAACCTGTTTTGGTTATATTTACTATTAATTGCAGAAGGTGCGCTCAGCAAAAATGACGCGAATATTGATTGTTTTCACGCTTAAGTCAAGTAAAAGACCGCTTCTTAAACCAGAGAAGGTTTTTTCGAGTTAAAAAGTCATAATTGAGAGATATAAACTGGCAATTCTGAGAAATAAAGTTCAGACTTTTTTCTCGCAATTGCGAGTTTATATCACACAATTCTGACTTTTTTTGACAGAATTGTGAGATATAAACTCGCAATTGCGAGTTATAAAGTAAGAATTGTGAGATATAAACTCGCAATTCTGAGAACATATCAGTATTTTTGCCCCCCTCAAAATTGGACTTATAAACTCGCAATTGTGACTTTATAACTCTCAATTGCGAGTTTATATCTCACAATTCTGTGAAAAAAAGTCAGAATTGTGAGATGCAATTACCTTTTTTTTAATTCAGTGGCGAAACGTGCATGTGCAGCCACCTGAGAAAGTTAATCGCAAAAGAGCGGCCAGTGGGAAGAATGAGTCTGGAGCCCTGAATTGCTCAGCTCCCTCTGTCAATGATCTAACACCCCATCGGCACCTGCGTTCAAAATTCTCTGGCACCGCCCTGGTACATCAATGTATTTTTGAAAAGCAAAAATTAAGTTTGTTCAACTCTAAACCCAGTCCCCAAGTAAATTAGGTTATTAAATAAAAAACTAGCAAAACGAGTTGCGCAGTGTCCCCACCACTTTTCAAAGCAAAGTTACGCCACTGTTATCCATCAATAATAGTACAAAATGCACCATGCATATACAGACATCAGCAAGGGTTTCTCTGAAAAAGGAAGAGAAACCGAGAATATAATAACATTTTACATATAAAGTCAACCTGTTAACAACGGACAGAGGTAGACTTCTCAAATCAGCCAATGAATGGTGAAATGAAAGTATGATGCATGCCATCATTTCCCTTCTGTGGAAAAAAATCCCTCAAGATCTTCCTTTTTTACCTAGTGAAAGGCATTTGTTTAGTTAACTGGTCTGTATGGAAATGGATGTCTATATGCAGATCATTTATGAATCCACAATATTCTTTGAATACCATTGTATGTAATATGGCAATCATTCAACATCATTGTATTTAACCTGATAAAGCTACATCAGAACAGATTGGCAACAAAGCACTGAAAGAAATTTAGCAATTACAAAACAATAATAAACCAAATTAAGCTGATATTTCTGGTGATTCTCATCATTTATACAGTAAATATACAAGTCTGATGATTAGACTTACCGGCATGAAGCTGTATTTTTCCAATAATACCTTCTACAAAGCCCAGACAGACAGGGTTCCATGCTAGCAGCAGGTCTGTTGCTGAAAGGAGGATGAAAATTAAAGTCATAAGGGTTTCAGTTACTAATATACAGGTATATCTTTATTTACAATAATTACACATACAAATGAACGTTTTTGCATCTTTATTTATACACAAATTTGTATATTTTTTTCAGCACTGCATCTGGGACAGAAGAACCATCAGAACTTCATTCGACTTTCCAAGGTTATGTGGCTGCTCACAATTGATTGCAAAAAACTTTCCAAAGCATTTCTGAAGCAGGTTCCTGACAATGATGACTGCTGACTTGAGTCACAAACTTGCTGAGTAGCTCCTCTTAAAAGCTGATTGATTAGCATCACCTGCATTGTCAGGAGTGATGTTCAGGGTCTGAAATGTCATGTGCAAAGACTGTATGGTAGCTTTATGGCTCACGCTCATCTGACAGAAATCCAGTTTGGAAGTAGATACTGTCTGTACTTTTGCTGCCGTCCTGCACCCAACCATCAGATGTTCACAGCCTGATGATGAATGGGTCGGAGCTGGATGAGCTGCATCACGAAGCTTCCAAAAACCATCCATTATGACCATGAACCTGGCTCTGGGGATCATTCCAGTCTGAGGGAAGATCTCCAACTACTAGGCCATGCTGGTACATCCATAGATTTGAATGATGTCTTGGTAGCCGCAATGACTTAATGGGAACTAACACCAAATAATAAGAAATTCTGAAATTCAACACTGCACTCAAATTGTTACAATTATAATACAATTTGTAATAAAAAAATACATCAATGTGATCTCACATGTGTCTCTAATAGAAGTTTGAAGTGAATAGCCTTTAATTTGACATTAGGAAGCGTGATTTTGGATTATGAATAGATTTGTGTCTCACAAACACTTCACAAGCCATTAACCGATGGACTGGAGTGTGGATTACTTGTGGATTATTGAGATGTTTTATCATATGTTTTCGGACTCTCATTCTGACTGCACCCATTCCCTGCAGAGGATCCATTGGCCAGCATGTGATGTAATGCTAATAAATTTTCATTTTGTTGAAATGAGCTGCATCACGAAGCTTCCAAAAACCATCCATTATGACCATGAACCTGGCTCTGGGGATCATTCCAGTCTGAGGGAAGATCTCCAACTACTAGGCCATGCTGGTACATCCATAGATTTGAATGATGTCTTGGTAGCCGCAATGACTTAATGGGAACTAACACCAAATAATAAGAAATTCTGAAATTCAACACTGCACTCAAATTGTTACAATTATAATACAATTTGTAATAAAAAAATACATCAATGTGATCTCACATGTGTCTCTAATAGAAGTTTGAAGTGAATAGCCTTTAATTTGACATTAGGAAGCGTGATTTTGGATTATGAATAGATTTGTGTCTCACAAACACTTCACAAGCCATTAACCGATGGACTGGAGTGTGGATTATTGAGATGTTTTATCAGCTGTTTTCAGACTCTCATTCTGACTGCACCCATTCCCTGCAGAGGATCCATTGGCCAGCATGTGATGTAATGCTATTCTTTAATCTGCCACACTAAACCACCTGGGACTGAATAATAAACACAGTAGTAATTACTACAGTTGTATAACCTCACTCAGCCACGCTGGCAACTGTGGCATGATGCATTGTGTTAGGAATTCATTCAAAAGAACTGAGACTGTACGCATCATGCGTACAGTGGAAACCCTTATCCAGTTAAATAATGGAAAAGCACTGCAACCTAAACCCGATCAGCCTGGCTGCACGCACATGGTTAAAAACAACTAGAACTCATCCAAATCTTCACAGGCTGCAGTGGTCTAGCTGCCCATCTAGTTCTAGACTTGACAAGAGATAAAGGTGGTGTGGATACGTAAATATTTTAAAGGTTAGATGATCAAAAGTGGAACACAGGGTTGCATTGTAAGTAAAGAGTAAGACACTTTAAGACATGTGTGAGAATAAGGCACACGTCATGGATGAGCACGAAAACCTTTTTTTTATAAAAATATATGCAAGACACATTTAAATAATTTTTTAATTAAATTGAAATTAAAACTGATTTCTGGTCAAATACCCACAATGCATACAATACACAGAAGAAATGTAAAAATTGTCTGAGGTTAGAGAAGTGTGTCGGTACATAGTAAATTATTGGTTTAAAGCCTGGGCAGAAAATTCTCATTTGACTATCTACTGTGCCTGTGTTCTTTCTCCAGAAGAACAGTCACATGTCTGACCCTTACTTTAACCTTCACCATTTAACAGTGTAACTAATTCCCCTGTGCAACATCTAACAGCATTAGCACTGGCCAGCATATTTATAAATACATCAACAATGGACATTCAAACATTTATTTAAACTGACATTTTATTTCTGTTTAATTAAGGCCATTTGGTTGTCACTTGTAAGGCCTGTAAACTGGTTAAATATTATTATTATTATTCACAGATGCAGCCTGCACCACTGGGAAAGAGTAATGTCAAACTGGACCCAAAGGTTATCACAATATCAAACAGAGATACATTTTGATGCAAAAATAAACATAATATATATGATAAAATATAATATACAGAATATACTTTTTGTTTATTGTATTATATAGTAGGCATTTCACTCAAAAATTGACATCGTTTACTCACCCTCATTTCCCAGATAGCACACATACATCAGCAAGATGTCTGTTAAAGATCGCTTCATCTGGAAAGCATCTGCTGTGTACAAACATCTGATAAACGTCTTTAAGATGTCCGTTTTACATACAAACTAAATCATAAACATCTTAAAGACATTTTCTAGATGCAGATGAGCAAACACGCTACAAAATACATCTTGAAGATGTCTCCGTGATGTACATGTGCTATCAGGGGTTGTATGACTTTCTTCCTTGGAACACGAAAGGAGATGTTAGGCAGATTTTTAGAGAATGAAAGGCTTTCACTATTCACTTTCACTATTCAGGGGGGGAAAAAAAGATTAAATGGAAGTAATCATAACTGAGCCTGACAGTGCTAGCATTCAGTCTAGCATCTCCTGAAGAAAGTAAGTCATACAGATTTGGAGTAACATGGTGAGTAAATAATGACAGAATTCTCATTTTTTGGTGAACTATCCCTTTAAGAGTCTTAGGCTGACATCTAAACGCCCTTGACCAAAACATACAAACCCTCAAACCCCAAATGATGTAGTAAGAAAAAGGGTTTTTGGGCACGACATCCTACCAAAAACATCACCAGAGGTATGCACTGACACGCATGTCAACACGCGCCGCTGCTTTGAAAGTAGGGCAATGAAAACAAAACGACTGGGCATCTTTCAGACAGCAGCCTCGATCGACAAATATGAAACTAACATTTCCATCTCTTTAATGTCTGTACAACTTCACAATGATTTTAAAGAGCCAACTTCTCCAAAAAAAAAACACAAATCACTCGTCTCAGTTTTGGAGCTGCGTATAGTGACCAGCTATTATGCACAAGAAATGGCAACAATGTAGACAGTGAAAACGGAAACACTGAAACACATGTACACTGTAAGAAAGGGATGGAGTTACAATGTAAGAATTACCTGGTCTCACGGCCATAGATCCATCCTTCCTGCTGCACCACAGCGCGTTATCTCCGCTCTGGAGAATATAGTGATCTTTAGCTTGAAACAGCTCCATGTTTACCAAAACACCTAAACATACGAGCTTCCCGACACCAAACCGCTGGATCTGTTCCCGATCCGAGAAACGAGGAAATGCAGCAGCTTCGCTTTTCGTCCACTGGCAGTCCCAATAGACGCCAGCTAACCTGCTAGCTGTGTACTTGTGTAAATGTTTATAATAATCTGATAAAGCATCGTGTCTCTGTGTGAGCTACTGGCCGATCATCGAAAATGAATCGTCGGTGCATTTAATGTCAGTTTAATAAGGGCGCTACTGTGGTTCGGAAATGCGCCGGTCTGTCTAATATTTCCCACTGCGGAAACAATTTCCTCCACTTATACACACACGTGACTTCCTCCGTCACACCGAACATCATCATAGTTCATCTGTGACTGAGATGCTCCACCTGCAGTAACCTAGTAGGCTACTTGTTTTGATGTAGCCTATTATTTTATGTCAGATCGTTACTTTGCAATTCTATTTTGAAGACACTTATATAGGCTAACTGATGACCTGATTCAATAATATAATACTGGTGCCATGTTTGAATGGTTGTAAAAGTTGGCATTATTCTAGGCCAAGCCTATAAATTAATCTATGGTTGTGTGAGTCTACATAAGTTAAAATAATGAATCTGTATGTCGAGCACTGTGCGAGATGAATTATATAGGTTCTTTAGAATCATTATGGTGCATCAAATAATTGAATGAAAGAAATTTCCAACTTAAACTGTAAACTTTGAGAGCTTTGGAGCACAGACTTAAATTGTTCTTTTTAAGACACTTGGAGATTATTGCTTAAGTGAAAAAACATTTTTTTTAATGAAATTATAGTGTTAAATTAAAGTGAGTTTATTTTAAGTTTTATTATGAAAAATGCGCAAAAAATACTTTTTACAAATTTTATATGAAATAGAAATAGAAATAGAAAGCCATACATCTAAACAAGTTGTGTTCCAAATTTGAGGTTGATATCACAAAAAAAGAGCATTCAGAAATATTGAAATTTGTTTCCCATATGTTTCCAATGCAGTCATTTTTGACCACGAGAAGAACAAGTGTGACTTTTTTTTAGGACCATTTACCTTTTTGAATCATGTTAATTTTTTTCATGTTCACACATAGCAAGTGCCAAAACCTTTGCCCAGTTTCGTGCCATTCGGATGAAGTGACAAAAAAAGTCTGAAAAAAAATAAAAGCAATTAAAATCACGTTACTTGCCTTAGTGTTTTCTCATTCCACTGCCTGTCTCGCATTTCTGAATGCAGAAACAAGTTCTGTGTGAATGGTCCCTAAAAAAATCCAATGTTTCCATAGGATTCATATAAAAAAAATTCATATGAAATAACCACATAGTAAAATCATCTTAGGACCATTTACCTTTTTGAATCATGTTAATTTTTTTCATGTTCACACATAGCAAGTGCCAAAACCTTTGCCCAGTTTCGTGCCATTCGGATGAAGTGACAAAAAAAGTCTGAAAAAAATAAAAGCTATTAAAATCACGTTACTTGCCTTAGTGTTTTCTTATTCCACTGCCTGTCTCGCATTTCTGAATGCAGAAACAAGTTCTGTGTGAATGGTCCCTAAAAAAATCCAATGTTTCCATAGGATTCATATAAAAAAATTCATATGAAATAACCACATAGTAACCACATGAAACTCGCAGAATTGTAGGCCTTATAAACATGTTTTTATAAGACCACCGACCTTTTTGTTTTGGCTTTCTTTTAAATTAATAGTAATATAATATAGACTATATTCATTTATGAATTTTGAATCAATCCTACACTCTAAAAAATGTTGGGTTAAATAACAACCCAGCTATTGTTTTTTTTTGACCCAGCGGTTGGGTTGTTTTGAGTCAAAACAACCCAACAGCTGGGTTTGTCCCTTTTTAACCCAGTGCTGGGTTATATTTAACCCAGCATTTTTTAGAGTGTAAAACGACTGGAGAGATGCAGTAGTCAGTGGTCAGTAAAGCATTGCTTTCTGTCTGGCTGGTAAAGCTGTAGCTGGCAGTAGGCGTCTCTCCAGAATGCCTTTGTACATTACAGCCTTTGAAGCCTATCCTAAAAGGAATTAAATGCCATCCAGATGTAATATTATCTCCAACTGATTACATAATGCCCTGGTCTCATTTGAGTTTTCAAGAAACTTTTCTTCTGCAAATATGCCTAATAGGACTCCATTTTTTAAGGCTGACTCATTTCTTAAATTTTCTGTGATGAATAGCTCAGCTTTTTTAATCACTGTGATTCAGGTTGACCTACATTTATAACTATACCTCTTTCTTATAACTGGGAATTCATAATTTGTTTGTAAATATTGTTTATAATATAATTCTTAAAAACAGATGATATTACATTATTCTTAATTTTTATGCATTTTATGTTGACAGTCTTAGTAAGCATAATGCTATAATCTTGCCCTATCATACTGTTAACACTGTAGAATGATATCTAATAAGCTATTTGATGGTAAAGTTACTCTACCCAGTGTACATTAAAAAAGTGGTTGTATATTACACACCATGCAACTTTGTGTAAGCAAAGTGCTTTATTATATTGTATTTGCAGTCATGCTTATGTCACCATGTCGACATTTTAACAAACTGCAAATAACCAAGCTGTGAACACTGAACATTGCATACTATTTCACAAAACAGAATTTGAAACCAGTTTTGTTTGCAGGTTTAGTACGATATCAGAGTCAGTAACAGGTCATTGAGATAAAAAGGTCTCACAACAGTCATGTGAGACACAGCACTTTGTTTTAAACAGAATTGAGCTGACACATTATACAAAGTAATTTTTGGTACACTAATTTCTAGTCCCTTAGAGCAAGTGTTTAAGTTTCCTTCCTCATGGGCACAAGGTTGATTAAATGGGACTGATTTGGTACCTGTCGAGTTCATAGATCACCATAACTTTGGACTGATCCTGGCTGCTTTAATCATAAGGTGACCATATATTCAGTGAGATTTTTATGTTTTTTTTTTTAGATTCAACGTTTGAACATTCTTAATACTGGAAATGTTCATTTTGGCACAGAAAAATAGAATAAAAATATATCATTTGTATCACTGTCACTCAACAAATAATAATACTGACAAGCATTCAAACCATCATAGTGAATTCTGTCAGCAAAGCTCACTTTCAACAATGAATTATTCTCCTGCATGATGTTCAAATGGTTATATTTAAAGGCATGAATTTATATATATATATATATGCCTTCCAATATGCCAAAATTCAAAATGCCTTTATATTTTTTTTGTAGCCCACACATTAAATATTTTTTAAATCAAATAAGAAGTTGTTAATGAAGAAGTGGGCTGTCATAGTGAAAACTTTTAAGGAATATTCAAAAACATTTGATCATTCATTCAACATGGTACAAAAGATACTTTTTGAACGTTAAAATACTTTCTTCTGTTCAAGGCCTCGTTTTCATTTGTTTTTGAATATAACCTGTCACCACTTTGTCTTTTGCTACAAGACACTGGCATGGTGTGATTTGACAACAGCAGCATCACATAACAGCACACATGATTGCACTCAGTAAACAAATCACGTTAGATCATTTCCAACAGAAAACTTCAATTAGTCATGCATGCAACTAATAATAATTGCGCAAGTAAAAACAAGAATGGAGATCTGATTAGTGTTCTTCTCAAAAATGTGTGCCTTCTTTGTGCAATTATAAAATCTCCTTGACCTTCTCTGAGTTTGCCTTGTGAATCATACTTGACTCAGGGTACGGGTCACCAGCCAGCCCTTCCGTCGGCTCTCCAAACATCTCCAGTTCATCTAGAATGGTTTGAACTCTGCGGACGCCATCCCTTCGAGCCTGACGCACATCTGGGCGACCTTCAGGGTCTACCGAGTCCAGAGCCAGAAGTTGTTTGGTCAACATCTCCTCCAGCATCAAGTATCTTTTATCATTCTTCTTCCCATCGAAACTTTTCACATCTTGTGCCAGTTTCTCCACACGTTCCCATATCTCCTGAACTTTGATCAGTCCTGGGTGGCACAGATTTTGTTCTGAAGTCTCCTCAGGCTGGAATTGTGGGGGTGGGGCCTCTTGAGGTGTTTGAGGGGCAGCGGTTTCCTGGGGTTCTGTTGCTGGAGGAAATTGTATGGTAATATTGGATGTCTCTGATACCTGTGGTGACTGTGGTACGGGTTGTTGTGCTTTTGGCTGGGGTGCTTGTGTAGGTTGTTGTTGATGTACTGGCTGATGATGTATTTGCTGAGGAACATCACTCACTCTTTGAATGGGAATCTCAAATGCAGGCGCTCTGACAATTTCTTCAACAGGTTGTTCAGCTTTTGGTGGTATTGCTGCGTGTCCAATGTGTTGCTGGACCTGGCAATAGTAACATATTCACTGTAGTTAAATTTCATACATTAATTCTGAACACTAGTATTTCTCACACTAAAATGTTACATAAATGTACAAGATGGCTTGAGCTTATGTAAATCAACAGCTATTAATAAATACTAATTAATAACATGCGTACCTGGGGTCTCTCTCCCATGATCTGAGACATGACTGGTGACTGGGCCCTTAATAGGATAGGACTGGCAGTTCGATTCTGTTGAATCTGAATGGGCACTTGTTCACGGTAGATTGGGATTTTTTCTCGCGTGGGATGAGAACTTTGGCTAGGCTGGTGTTGTGAGGCGCACCCTATACCCTCATGGATCACCGGAATGGGGATGTAGCCCGCCCGGAGACCTGTATTGCTGGGTCGGGGCTGTTGATGAAGGCCACTCATTTGTTGGTGTGTGCCCTGTGGTTGATGAACCTGATGCAAATAAAAATACAGTTTGATTTTGGAAATAGCTAAAAGTGTATACAATAGCATTCAAAAGTTTGGGATAAGTATGATTTTTTGAAAGAAATGAATACTTTCATTCAGCAAGGAAGCAATCAATTGATCAATTTTAAGACATAAAAATTCAATTTCAAGTAAATGTAATTTTGAACCTGGCCTTGTGTGCTTACTGG